TTTGTTCCTCTTCCCTTTTCCTTTGTTTGTACAAAACTTTTTCGCAAGAGCTCTCATTGGTTTTGTACACGTTTTCTAATCAAGGTCGTCCTCGATTTGGTTCCTGTCCTCGATTCATCTATGATTTTACACGTCGTGTGTCCTCGATTTACACCACAAACAAACGCCCACAAAACATACACGTGTGTATTTGCCTGCAATCGGGGACCCCCTATTGTCCCTCTTTTGTTTGTTTGGAAGACCTCTTATATGTTTTGTACACGATCGCCAAATTGGGGACATTCGGGAATACGGGAACCCTATTGTCCTCTATTGTTCAACGTCCCCTATTGAATGCAGAAACAAACTCATGGATACGCTGCAGAGAACCCACCTGTAATGACAATAAACGTTGCGTTTGACAACAGTATGAAGTAACAATGTGGTTTGTCAATGTTTAATGTTTATGCCAATAGTTTTCAAATAATACAGAAGAATATAGCACGACAATTCTAGAAGGTAGCTATTTAAAATAAAGAGAATTATTTGAATTTGAAGACTTATTTTATGCCAGATGCGGAACTGTCAAATTGACTGGTCGAGAATATGGACAGCAAATCTGTATTGAAAACAACTGATACAAAGCTGAAACAGTATGTCAAATTATCTAATCTAATAAAATCCGTGAAAACTATGACGCTAAAGGCGCTTCACACTAAATAACATTGAGCAATTAACTAAAAACCTATAAAACATGTTACCAAAACAGCATTCATATTACATTTCAAAGTTAACACAAAATGCGCAAAAATAAGCCTAATTCAATACATAAAAAGCATGAAAGCGTTTTAAGAATCATAAGAGCTAAAAAGAAAAGCATGAAAGCGTTTTAAGAATCATAAGAGCTAAAATATAACAGAATCATAAGAACTTAAACTCATTTTTAACTCAATATCGAAGACTAACTAATACAAATATGAATGACCCAAAGATTAAAATATAAATTTTAAGGGAAAATACACCAACCCAATAAGAATGACGCAAACACTCGAACAATAACAAATACAAACAAATAACACACAAGAATTAAAACAGACAACCAGACCAACAAACAAAATGGCATACACGGAGGCAAAGATATCAACCAACAGCCCCACAAATAACCAAACCGAAAAACAAACAAACATTAATCAATTCAACAACCTAACATACAAAAACAAATGCAAAATGGTCAAAGTGACACCCCATCGACGGAAGTACCCAACCAACAGACAGACAAAAAGAGCAACAGGCAAAAGACCCGATAACAACCTGATAGACGAATGACAATTAACACAAACAAAGTGCGTAAACTACACGAGCGACATGATATCAAACAGAAGTAGAATACAACAATACGGAAGCTGCTGGCTATAAGCCCAAAATAATATATAGTAACAGTAAAACATTAATCGGGTCATTAAACATTCATTGTAATGGTCTGTATGTATTTAGTTTAATCACATCCCCGATAACTTGTGATGATAGACTTCGTTTGTTATCAAAGAAAACAATATATTGTACAGGAGTTTTGACATGTTTTAATTGCTTTCTTTCAAATTTTGAAATGTTCCTCATTATTAACATTCATATTTTCACAATATTTCCAACAATTGAGCATCACTTAAGCAATATGATGAAAAGGTGATGTTGGGATACTGCATTCTTTCCATTGCAACTTTGAAAACCGAGTAATCGTCGTTGTTTTAAGGCCCTCCCACCACCAACACCCCTACCCCCCCCCCCCCCCCAAAAAAAAAAAAAAACCAATGCAAGCTTTACAATTTAAACCACAGTCCAGGCTGTATTATGCATTGTTGCTGAAATCATCTTATTTTACAAACTGATTACATTTATGTAGGTTGCAATAACGGTACGTCTAAGTTTGTATTCCAAATAGTGGATCAGCCAAACATTGAAAAGCCATGTAGACAAAATCCACAGGTAATTATTTATTAATAGAAGGCACCAATGCATTTTAAATAATTCCTACTGTCGCAGTGAAGCATCAACCTGTGTCAAAATGTTCTTGAACTGTACATATCTAACTTGACAAATAACTCAAGACACACCTTGAAATAAATTGTTGTATATGTAACTAAAAATAATGCAATTATGTCTTTTTGAAATAACTTGAACTATAATTAGCAGATGATGCAGAAAAATTACATGTACAGGGGTATTTCAGCGCATTTTAAAAAGTCCAAAAACGTTTTATATAACTGACATACAGATCCTTGTCATTTGATTGGTGGAACTCACATCACGTGATATTAAGTATTGCTCCCATTCACACCGGGGCACAAAAAAAAAAATCGCCCATGGTAAATGGGATTTACTATTCAACAGTTAGGGTCATCCTTGTTCCATTGGGGCCGGTATCTGTGTGCAAATGCATACTGGTGTGCGAGTTGAGCGTTATGCGTATTGTTCACAAGAGCCAGTATAGTAGCTACATAGTTGGTTTCAAACGTTTCGTGAAGGGGTGGTTGGGAAGAGAGAAATACATTTTTCTAACAATTTTGTATTACAATTGAAGTTTATTTTAACTGTAAATCAAATGACAAGGATATCTATATGTCAGTCACATAAAACAAATATTGAGTGGCTCAGAGTGGAATGGGCGGAATATTATCGCTCGGTAAAATTTGGACTTTTCTATTTCACTAGGCTCCATCTCGTGAAGTAGAAAAGACCACATTATACTAGGCGATAATATTCCTCCTGATCCACTCAATATTTGTATACTATACAATAGTTGAAACAAAATCTAGTAAATTTACTTTCGCTTTGATATGTAATTCTTCCTTAATATTCAACTTCAAAATCGAAATTTATATCATCTCCTAACATGATTATTAATAAAAGCAAAACACTTTCTCAAACCTAGACAGAATTTCGTAATAAACACACCTTTTTTCAGCAGCTCTTAAAATCGCATTTTTCTTTAAATTATATAAATTTCGACGGTACAACAGTCTATAAAACTTCTTAGTAACCATTTTTTTAAAGATGGCATTCAGATGTGAAATATAAATAGAAAGAATTGGGTACTGGGCGCCATATTCTTTTGCATAGCATTCTTCAAATTCCTGCAGCATGTATTAATATACTGCACATGTATAAACGCTGTGAAGTGCCTGACAACGATTACAGAATCTCACTCCAAAAGCAAATTGACTGTTTACTTGCAATATTAGTCGCAATTAACAGCCTAATGCAAGTTTGTCTTCAAGTCAAATTCAAATGCAATGCCTAACAGCACATCAAATGAAAAAAAAAACTTATTTAAAAAGCAATAACAAGCAAAACTGTGTTCCACCAAGTTATTTCATTTTGTCTACTATCTTCTAAAAACTACATGTACTCACTAAAAAAGGTAAATAATAGCGTCCAGATTCACTACTTACAAGACGTGTTCATCTTCTTTCAACGTCATCTCTGTCACTGAAATCAAAAATACAAACAAAAGTTGAGTGAGATTTAGCAGCATTGAAGGAATTATAGTTGTAAAATTCACCTTTGTTGAAAAACTAGGCAAAGCCTGTGGTATTGGAAGTTTCGCAGGTTTGGCACTCTAAATGAAGACAAAGAAGCATCTCTTGCATTGTTGAAGATAATGGACATTCCTGTTTGTCAATGCTTGATACTAATAAACGTGAAACAATATTGGGCTGAGCTGTTCCCGAAAAGCAACTGGCTTTGTTTGAAGATTGCAAAAAGACTTGACCGTGAGAAGTCTACCATAACACTGAAAATCACTTCAATGTTGTCATTGCAATCTATGAAAACCATAAAAATATAAGGCCTAAATAAGAACCAGCAAGCATAATAACTGGTAGTCTCACCTCGAATCTCCTGTGCCAGATCAAGTCGTCCAGCCTTCTCCAAGGCCTTGGCTAAGATGCTTTCATCCAACCATCCACACCGCTGCCTCCACTGGACAAGCATCGCAAATATCTGATTATCCACGTTACATGGGTTGTCTTCTTTAATCTTGAACAGGTCTGCTCTAGTGTAGCCTAACTCTGTTGCCAGTGTCTCCCATTTCTCTCCCAATTTCTCGGCAAGCCGACGGAAGCGTTTCTGGTCATCTATTTCGGACTGAAAACAAGTGATTTATGTTTTACTTATTCGCTATGCATGAAAGTAAGTAATGCATCATTCACAAAAGGCAAATATTATTACTCCACTCTGTGGTATTTTTGAAGGGTCAACCCCCCAAAAAGGGAAATGTATTCACGTCTTTGCACACTCAGATGAACCATGTTGTGATTTCGTCTGAGAATACAATCACATCTACCCTTTCACTTGTACTTTAACTAAAAGAATCTTACACTGAGTTGATACGGTGTCAATCTGCTGACGTCACTGATTGAACCAGGTGCAGATCGCTGAGGTAATTCAAAGTCGCATTTGACAACACAACTTGCTTCGGCAGCTACTGGCTTTTCCATACCTGAAACCGAAAAAAAAGAGGATTCTTTATTAGGGGAATAGACCATTATCATGTTGCGGCCATTTGGATTTTTCCCATTCAAATCAACGTAACCAATGCGAGGCTGGAAGGAAAAGTAGTCTGGTTCCTTTTTGCACAAAAACATTATCATTCAGTACTGTTACTGGATACAGGGAACATGACTGAAAAAGGTGACAGCATGATAAAGGTCTATAGCCGGTTGGATGAGTCCCCACAAATGCTGAAAGAGGATTTGAGATTTCTCTCGAATGAAAGTATTGTATAAATGGATACAATACATGAATAAAATATTTCCTGAGGTGTAATGTTTCCCTTTCAAAGGGCTTCCATACAGCGGCAGATATCCGAGAGGACGTTGCTACTATTTTGGGCAAACCATGTGGATAAACTCAATCTTTGCAAGTCGTACCTGATGGTTGACCCTCTTCCCTCGCACGGCGGACTTCATTCCTTACAATATCCACTATTTCACTTGCACACTTCTCGATCAGATGCTGAACTGCTAGCTTGTCTGGAGTATGATCAGCTCGACAGCCTGCAAAGTAGACTTTGAGAGTCTCCTTTGCGGGACTTTCTTGACGAGCGATGTCGTTTGACCGAAGACCCTCCCCAAGTAGGTCCCGGGCAAGTTCCGTCCAGTTGTGGCCGTCCATCTCGGTGTCTAGTTGTTGGCGAAGTTTTTGGACCAATGCCTCTGAGAATCCTCCGAAGTCGCCGTCCATTAGTCCGTGCACCCTCCTTGTAATTGCCGTTCTCACCTTTTCCTTGAAATAGACGGACAAAGACATTCTCAAGATTTGAATAAAGGTCCAGTGTTGTTTAATACCAACATAATTTCGTTACGTTCTGTTGTGTACCTCACAACAGCTTTATATAGTTTGTCGGTTTTTTTTTTCTCTAGACGAAATTGAATTTGCTGTTACACTTACCTTGCAAATCGAGCAGAGCTCTACAGACGTATCCTACAGAAAAGGAATATAAAAAAGTTTAAGCCCCTACAAGTCTTACATATGTAGCCTACGAACTGTAAATATGAGATATTTTGTTCGCAAATTGTCTTTTCCAGGACACGTTGACAAGCTCAAATCCACGTACTAATGATTTTTAATTAAAGTCATATTTCTTACTTTCGTGCAGGTGTTACATGCTTCATTGAGAGACACTGCAATTTTCACCTGCAAAATAAATTTCGAAAAAAGGAGGAAACCAATTTTAACTTTTGATTTTCCGCACCGAAGCGAACTAATGTAGTACCGTATTAAAACTGTTATGATATTATCGAACGCGAAATAATGGATTAAGATTATAGCCATTGTGTAAGTCTTGTTACTAACTTGCTTTGGTCTGATCGAAAATCGAAGTCTATCTTTAGTCGTAGTTGTGTCGGATTCCGAGATAGACTGGTATACGACTCCGTCGGCCCCAGGAAGCAGCTGCCTTGGATTACTCTCTGCACTAGTCAGTTGTCTTCTCAGGTCAAAGGTCACAGAGTTCTTCTGGAACTGCCAAACTCTGGACTTGCTTATCTCTTGTTTCTGACAAATACAAAGAAGTTCATCAGTATCATTTTTAGTTCCTTCAATGTTCCTTATACGATGTTGAAAATACATGTGTTGTTAAACTTGAATGATTCACAGGATGTAAAAAAACATGGGTTGGGCCTCATGACTCCCAACAATAGATGTATGACGGATTGGATTTCTTGAAGTGCAAATATCTGTTTGAAAAAGGAATGACATGGCATCGTTGTTCTAATCCGATTCAAATTTTAGAAACGAATACCTGTGGTGTATTTTCCTCCAATTCCCAGCCGGTCTTGATGTTCTCAAGCTCAACGATCACACCTCCATGACTGTGATGGACTAACATGTCTCTGTAAACATCCAGCAGCTTGGATTCAAGCACGTTCTCCATATCCAAAACTTTCTGGGGAGGGATAATGACAAACGACCAGCGGCAGTTGTGAATGCAGAGAATGATGTAGGAGTGAAAAAAAGTTCTCTACAAAATATGGTTTTCAGCTACTTTCACATAACATGTTTTTGGCCAGCTGCATCTAGTCGAGAATTTCGTTCAGAAAAGCATACATCTCCCTAAAAGAAGGACACTCACTTAACTGAAACTAAATGAACAGTTACAGAGAATATAATATGAAGAAAAATCAGTAACAGCGAGAATTTCTGCACTGCGAAACAGCGCCTTCAGATTTAACATGCGGGGTGGGATAATAACACCGGTGTAAAACATCACCTGTGTTTCTTTATCAGATACCATATAGGTGTCACTTCAACATGTTTAGGTGTGTTTAGATCATCAATTGTCATATTACCTGCATAGCAACTGGGTCACCGTCCCAAACGTGGATTCGCACGGCATACGAGGTATCTGCTTCGGTACATGACCCTCCGAATGCACCAACTTCTACTGTTTTACAGCTGGTACTGGTAGATGACGGCTCGCCCACCAGAACTGCTCCGGTAAAATGCTTCATCAGGAGAACGACCTTCTTCTTTTCAGTTGACACCACGATGCCATCTTCCTCGCCGTCGAGGGGATGCCAGGCCTTGGACGCCGCATCTTCGTCGCTGCAGATCTCGGCGTGAAGCCTCCAGCTGGAGTTCTTGCTGGCGTGATGCGGAAACTGCAGCACCACGCTGTCTGAAAACTTCAGACCTGGCGGGCCGCACTGGATCACGGGTGAGAGAGCAACCTGCGGAGGATGGATCCCGTCCACAGGTGGCGCATTAGGGTTGACGTAGATGTACACCTGATGTAGTAAATCTTTGGGAAGTGCGCCCCGAGGGACGTACAGGTGGACATTGTACTTGTCCAAGGACAGGCTTCCACCATCATGGTCGAAATAACCGATTGCAATGTACGGCAACTGAAAGGTGTTATCCTTCAGTGTGTCTTCGCTGCAGTCTTTGGTGAATTTGTCGTGTTCCTCGAGGATCCTGTCCATGTGTGTTGGCGGGCTGACTGTAAAAAAAAACAAGGATAAAGGTTTCACTGTAAAAAACGTTTGATAAAGTAAATACAAAACATCCAAAACTGAGTTTGAATGGATGATTGAGTGCCAAAAAAAAAAAAGTTGAATAACTATATAGTTTGCTCCTCAACTTGTTTGCATACCTTCATTTCATAACACAAAGACAGTCATTTCGCATATTGCACCAAATTCGATGTATATTAATGAATTGATCATTGGTGAACATTATCAATAGATGATTTTATGTCTACACACCTGGGACATTACTTGCTTCAACAGGAAGTGAGTGTAAAACTGGTGATGTCTGTGCCTCCGCTAAAGAAAAACTGGCGGCCTGGAGTAGTGAAGATGAAAAATGAATGACTACATTTGCAATTTTGTGTGTTATAGAAACTAGAACTATATGATTAATGAACAACTTGCGATATACATCAACAAATATACCTTTAATCGACAAATGGCCTGTGTAAACACAGGCATGTTACCAGGACTTTGGCGTGCCCGTAGCAAAATTATTATATTCGTCCCAATTAACCCATTTTCACATATTGTTCATATTAGCGTCCCCATTTTGCCTCTGCAAAATGACACTCCCCCCTTCCGTTCACGCTACAGTCTGTACAGCAATATAGCAGGTGCAGATGGGGGGGGGGGGGGGTGTTGGCTTGCTGGGTTACGGGGGTATTTATACACTATCATGCAATACAGTGTCAAACATCGTCGGATTTGAACAGCGCCCCCATTGACAGGTTTTATCTGCAAAGTCTTCCGTTAAACGAAAAGTGAAACACGCCTATCTAAACGAATGAAATTGTAAACAAAAACAGAAAGATTACCGGAAGAAAGGTTTTGGTTATAAAAAAAGGGCACACAGAAACCTATGTTGTGGAAAAAAATTCATTTGCACCCGCTTTGTTTGGAAATATCGGATTTTTGGTTTGGCAGGTTGTTTTTTCCCTATTTTCCGACGTAAATTACATTGTATCTACCTCAGCTTCTTCATAAAGAAAACAATTCCCAACTAATCGAATAATGCAGAGGGAAAAAAGGCTCATTAAAATAAAAGCAATTTGGACATAATTATTTTGATTAAACAACAGAATAATTTCTACCTGTCTAGGAGAAGGAAATTGAGCTGAAACAAAACGCAAAAATATTTTCTCCTTTTTAGTTTTGGTTTACGAACCATGATTGTGTCTATTGGTTATATCTATAAAGTTTCCCTCTATAGTTAAAAGTAAAACACCAAAATGTATTTCAATACATTTTTACGAAAAAAGAATGATATTTAGAAGCAACATTTTTTTTAACAAATCCAACTGGACCGGTAGGTGAACTTGCCTCTTTTTTAAGATCTGGTTTCTTTTCCTTTCGCCTGCATGTTGTTTGATTTGCGAATTAACAAAAGCAAATTAATTGTGCGAGGAATAGCTCAGGAGCTCGCAAAAGTATGACGATTTCATTTCGGACCAACCACGCCAATTGCAGGCACATATGATTTCGCTGGTATTCTGTAACCATGTGGATAATTTTGATAATGAGAGTACGTATATCCGCCACTACCTTTGCAAAGCCGGGAGTCAAACTATATAACTCCGAAGTTTACAAAGAACGGAAAATTGAACACTTACCGATTGGAGGTTCTGCAGATGATCACCCATTATGGTATGAAAATAGAAACATAAATAAAATAAAAACTTTACCTAAAAAATGATCGGTACATTTTTGTAAGTTTTAAGTATCAGATTAAAGCCTTTTTCTTTCAAATACTGAAAACAATCATGATAATAGCAATTCAGGTTGTTGAGAAAATTATAATTAGGTAAAAGTAGTCATTTTCATCCTGTACACAAGTACTTCAAACCGGGAAACATTTTACTGTAAGCCTACTGTGCAATTATCCTTCATTTGTGCCATTTCTTTAGTATTTTGACATATGTATAGTGCTGAAGGGTTTGGAATAGAAATAAAAAGGATAAGATACCTGTTCAGGTAGAAAATAAAAGGTATTTTCATCATATTTAGTTGAACTCTTGTCATATTATGGGCCGTGTTGTTTGTAAGGATTAGGATATGCACAAGTAAGTACAGTGAAAATCCCTCACTGTGGTAATTGTTGAGTGCAAAACTAAGTACATTTATCGACATTAAAATGTATCATCGAAAGAACTTCGTGTAAATATGAAATGTCTTTCAACCCACAGTTTTTGTTAGTATTCAATAGTTCTTCAAGTTATTTTTTTCTCGGATGCAAATTCATTATTATCGTTTCACAAATCGAAAACAAAGGGGAACCTGTATCTCTGGAAATGTATTTCAACGGTATATAAGTTTGCAGGAAACTACCGTATACCAGGTACAGAGCTTCACGAATTACTACTATATGATTTTAACATATCCGCCAATTTTCGAGCCCGAGGCGACACATTGCAATAAAATAGTTGGCCATATTTGAATACATTAAAGTTTGAAAAAGTAACTGAGCTGTAACCTTACCGGTTCGTCATCCAATTCATCATCCTGTATGAAATAAAAACAGATTAAGGATTCTGTTTAAGACAGCTACCATTTTAATTGAGTCATTGTTTAAACAGAACTATCAGGGCAATGTCAATGGTATTGATCGACCCAACAACGTTCGTTGGTGTGTTGGTGGGGGGGGGGGGGCGCCCGATAGTCCAAAGGTCCAATAGTCCAAAGATTCTCATAAGAGGGAGTTCGTTAGTCCAAAAATGAAAAAAAAGTTCGTTAATCCGAACTTTTGATGCAATAGTCCGAAGGCGTATTAATCCGCAGGTTCATTAGTCCGAAGGCTCATTTATCCGAAGGTTCATTTGTCCGAAGGTTCGGTAGTCCAAATTTAGAATACGGTTAATCAGTTCGAAGCTTTAATAGTCCGAAATGAAAATCAAGTTTAATAGTCTGAAGGTTCATTATTCCGAATTGATAACAGGCGCAGATCCAGAGGGGGGTTTTGGGGGTCACCCCCCCCCCCCAGCTCTGTCAAAAAAAATATCATTCAAATTCCTACAAAAATAAGTCGGAACCCCCCCCCCCCCCCAACAATTATACTGGTATAATGTCTGCCTGTTCAAAAATACGGTACACCATTCTGTAATCTAGTGTTAATAATCGTCGAATTTGAACAGCGCTCCCTATTGAAATATGGTACCTGCTCCCCCC